GACTCGGACGATGATGTTGTCATTGATGATAGCGACGATGATGGGCCGAAACCTTCAAGACCTATAGGGTTTGTCTAGCAGTGGTTGATGAAACTTTCATAATTTCCTGATATTTTGATCTTTTACAGTCATTTTAAGTATATCCCTTCTTTTGTTCTCCTCACGTAAGCTGCACTTTAGGCGCCGAAAGGCTACGAAGAAAAATTACAACTTCGGAGGCACCGATGACGAAGATGAAGAAAGCTCGCCAGCAAAACCTAGAAAGAGGAAAGTCATTGACAGTGACAGCGACTAGACTAGGTTTTCTGAATTTGTTGTTTCTACCTAATCTCTGGAGGTAATTAGCACCTCCTCGATGTGACGACTACCTTCAAAAATAATACTCATGATTGTTCATAGAGCTAGTACAAATCGTTATTTATTATATGGGATCTCCTCTAACTTATTCAAACCCTGTTACCTTTGATACTCGAAATTTTCATGCATTTATGTGCCGGTAGCTGAAGGTTTTCAACACTTCTTATTTTGATTCTATGTCATGATACCTTATGTATGTTATCTCATATACCTTCTTTCTGCGCTGTATCAATCTCCCTGTGAGTAAAAGTGTTACATGTGGATTGTTTGGTGAGGTGGAACTCGTTTCTTGCGGTGTTTAGGTTTAAAAAAGTTTTTTTTTGCGTTAGTCTCGTTTTGAAACATTCCCAGCGAATAGGTTGTATAAACAGGGTTTCTGTAGACTAGGTTGCGTAACTTTCGCAAAGTCTTAGTAGGTTTAGTTTGCGAGTGCTATTTTAGGATACTGGGTTGAAAATTGCAGACACACAAAAGAAGAAAAGAGAAGCCAGAACTGGGTAGGAGCAATATGTTCACGGGGAATTTTAGGCAGGAAATACAATCAAAACTATTTCACGAGGACGCAGGTGGCCGCAAAGTAGCAAATTCTGTTTTTCTTATAATTTCGCCCTTTAATCACCTTCAAGTTCTTTGATATTTCTGGCAAAGTGCCATTTCATCACACTCAAGATTTAGCCTTATGATCTTATAAAATTGTTTCCACTTATAATCTTTGTAATCCTTTGTTAAGGATTTAGTGAGGTGAGACTTGATTGGGCTGCATAGCAGCAGAAGCGAAAGCATTACCTATCCATCGCATGGGAGTTGAGTATCACTGCAACTATAAGTTGAAAGGAAACCTTACTTTTAGGTAGAA